GCACTAAGGGTCCAACGGTCAAAATATTTGAATTTTACACTGATGCACCGATGCACCATGGGTATGCATCGATGCACTGATGCTCCCAATTGTTTTTAATTAATTGTTTTCACACTTAAACGGCTATATTGACTCCACTAATCATCCCCAACGTTCAGAAGTGATTCAATGTGTATTTTAAGAAAGCTTAGAAGCCATTGATCAATAACAAGAAACATCAAGCAACTAGAATCAAGAGAGAATCAAAGAGAAAGCATCAAACCTCAAGTTTGAGCATTTCAAGCCTATTTTTCATTCAATATTCATTTTGCTTTCAAGAACACTTATTGTGCTCAATTGTATTCATTCTTGAGTGTTCTTTTCTTTGTTCTAGAATTGTGCAAACAATCTACCTTGTGAGGATTTCCTTGTAAGTTTGCAAATTTGTATTGTTCTCTTTGGGAGAGAGTGTTCTCAAGATTTTGGGGTATAATTCTTGAGGGTTTGTAAGGTTACTCTTTGTCCTCAAAAGAAAGACAAATTAGTGAATTTGTGGAAAATCCTTAGTGTGGATAGCTAAGGTAGTGGACGTAGACTTTGGTTGAGAAAGTTGAACCACTCTAAATCGTTGTGCAAATTTCTTTCAATTTTCTGCAAAAGCTTCCACCAAAAATTTTAATTGCCAATTCACCCCTCTCTTGGCCATATTCGTCAATCAATCAACTCAACATGTTATAAAAATATATTATTTTAGTTGGACGTAATCTAAAATATTATATTTTTATAATATTTTCAATTGCAATCTAAACTATTACGAAGAATGGAGCATTTTTTGTTACCAACCGAAAATGTTATAAATAAAGTAACATTTTAAGTTCTAACGGAAAATATTACGAAGAAGAAAATATTTTAGGTTGCACCTAACCTAAAATGATAGACATTTTGATAGCATTTTCGGCCGAACTTAATTTCTATTAATTTTTAGTCTTAAATTTTAGGTTATACCGCAAAACTATCTAATAGACTCTTAAATAAACATGTAAATTGTGTTCCAGTGTGATATTTTTAACCGAAAAAAAAAGTTAATATAAAAATTGTTATAAGAATATTAATATAATATTATTAATTTATTTAATTCTTTTTAAAAAAGTGACCTTAATCCAACTCACTAATAGAAAAACTCTATTTTAAGTTTATCATATGAATTAACATTTGAATTTTATAAATTTTTAAAATTAGTATATTAAAAAGAATTCACAAATTGGTAATAAATCTAAAAAAATATAAATTAATATATAATATTAATATGATATTTTAACAATGATCAACGTGTTATAATAAATATCACTTGATTATATCATTTTGACTGACCAAAATTATATTTTCAATTTAATCACGGTTGAGATGTCAAGTAAAATTATTTATTTATTTTCTAAAGTTCAATATAAAAATAAAATAAATTAAAAATAAATATTAATTTGAAAAAATATTAAATTTAAATAAGAATTTATATAATAAAACTTTATTTTAAAATATAACTTATGATTATAACTTTATTAAAAAATTAAATAATCTAGAGTGATTAATTTTTTTTTGCAAGATAAAGTTTAGGTCAAGGGTGGCTCCCCCAGTCCAGGGCCAGGGCATACCTAAGACACAATTGAGATTTACATAAGAATTTACAGATTGCCCACCAATAATAGCGGTGGTAGGATTCGTACTTGGCCTTACAAACACAAATTCCTTAATCTCAACCACTTGTACCAACACCCATTGACCTTATAATCTAGAGTGATTATAAAGTAGAATCTGATCAGAACCATGGGCGAACTTTCGTGGGAACCAAGAGGAGCCTTAACCCCCACCAATTTTTATTAAGTATAAATTAATATTGCACTATATATATATATATATATATATATATGAAAATTTTATTAGGTCCCATCAAATAAAAATTATATTTATGAAAAATATAATATATTTTAACCACTTTAATAAATTCATGGTTTTGCCCCTGATAAGAATTTTCTTATATCGATTGACAACGTAAGTATACCATTAGGCCGGTTTATGAGATTTTAATGGCTTGGAACGAACATAGAAATTAAGCCTCCAATAATAAATATCTAGAAAGGAAAATATTGAATTGTAAGAACAAACAAAGAAAAATAAATTTGCTTGTAAATTACTTTTTTATTACGTTTAATAAACTATCTAATAAATATATCAACTTTCAAATAGAAAACATCAAAAAAAATTATTAAACACCCAACTATTCACAGAAAACAAGCATGCCTCTCTTTTAAGACAACACAAATTCGATTTCAACCTTTTCTGTCTTATCAAAAAAATTAATAAAAAATTAATAAAAAAATAATAAAGTGAAAAGTGAAAAAATAATTTAAAAAATATCACATCAACATAACTGTCAAATTTTTAATGGTGGGCAATAAAAAAACAAAATATAACATTAAGTATGATTTTAAAAAAATAATAATTAGATGACTATAACAAAAATAAAATAAGTGACTAAATAAATAATTTATCATTTTTTAGTTAATGTGGACTTCATGATTTCGGATCATATACGGGAAGGGGCCCTGGACAAAGGCCCCTTCTATCTATACTCAGATACGAACTTGTATACCTTATAAATACAATTGTTTAAATTTAAAATTTTTAAGAAATAATAATATTCTTTTTATTACTAAAATCACATAATAGATTTATTTTATTAAATTTTTACATTTTGAAAAAAATTTGAGATGAGGGCACGGGTGTTGGGGCAACAAATATAAATGAAAATGATAGGAATAAAAATGATTGATGAAAGTGTGTTGGAAATAGAGCCAGAAGAAATGGATTGATATGTTGTAACGTACAAGTGATGAGTGCCTAGCGTCTCACGCTACCCTTCTTCCAACCAACTCAGTTGAGTCAATTTGTTTGGACCTCCACGCCTTTCTGCCCATTTTTTATTCTTTCTTTAACACTCCAAATCTTGTCTCCTTTCATATACTTTGATATATAATTTTCGTTGGGTATGTCCATTTGGTTTTAGATCGTCTTAACGTGAATGAGATTGATTTAGATTTTCTTTAGGGTAGAGTATACAAATAATCTTCTAATTATAAGATATTATTTTATTAAGTTCACTATTTATTAAAAGTTATAAAATGATCTTTCGACCATAGAGAGTTATTTTATCGAGTCCCTCAACTATTAAAAGTTACAAAATAATCACTAAACTATTCTTTATATTCAAAACTCGTCTTTTTTCTTTAAAAATTAACGGTCGTCCGAGTTAAACGTTAATATGTTGACTAAAATATTATAGTCATTTAAGACTATAAGATTCAAATTTATCATATCTCAGTAAACATATTAACATTCAACTTAGAATACCGTTAATTTTTTAATGTAAAAGAACTGAGTTTGGAACATAATGAATAGTCTAGTGATCATTTTGTAACTTTTAATAGTAAAGAGACTTAACATAGCAACTCCTTATAGTCAAGGGACGATTTTGTAACTTTTAATAGTCGATTGACTCAACAAAACAATACCATATTGTTAGGAGACTATTTTTGTATTTTACTTTTTTTCTTTAATAGTCTAAGATGATTATAAAATAGTATATGTTCATAATATTTCTTAATCATTAATGACACACACGTCCTACAATTATAACTGTTCCAATTTAAGACCTCAAAGGAGAATAATTTTTTCTTTAACTGGCCACTCAATAGGTTCGATAGATTTATATTTTATGGAATAAATGATTTGTTTGCTTGAGAATTTGAACCTTCGAAAACTTGCAAGACAAAGCAGTTATGGGTGTGTTCCAAAACACATTAAAATAACGGTTGAAGGTCGCAATCAACTTTTCAATTGAACTTAAACTATGCTTGTCGAATTAAATTTATATTTTTAAAAATAATTTAGACATAATAAATATTTTAAAAATATTCAGATAATATAAAATTATTATTAACGAATATATTTTATAATTCGAATTTACTATAAATTGATCTTATAATCGTAATTTATGACGTGAGTTGAGTGATGAATATGGGGATAACATTGGGTCGGCTTAACTAAAGTTGAATGTAGATGATGCGCACCGCCATGGAATTTGCGAATTTCGAAGCAAATCTTTGGGGCTAAGGTTGTCTTGTTTCAGTTAAAGATTTAAAAGATAGAGTAAGCAGTTACAAAGGTATTTTTTAATTATTATAAAACATTAATGTATTTAAAGTTTTTGTTGTAGCTTTAATTTAATTTTCAATTGAGTTAAGTTTGAGAATTTGTCGAGGTCAAGTTTTTTCGAGTTTGAGTCAAGTTTGACAATTTTAAGCTCGTAAACTTTTGAGTCGAGTTAAATTTAGCTTTAAACTTTTCGAATCGAGTTAAACTCAGCAATACTCGAACTCGACTCATAATGGCATAACACAAGAGGGACTAGTGGGGCCATAGGCCTACCAAAATTTAAAATATTATAATTTAGACCCTTCAAATTTTCAAAAAAATTAATTTATACCCCTAAATTTTTAAAAATTCATATTACACTTTAAATTTTTTGGAATGTTCTTAGTTAAACTCCCTCACATAAATTTTAAAAATTCTCATTAAACCTCTCAAAATTTCAAAAATTTTAGTTAGAACCTAATTATTTGAAAAAAAAATGTAAACTAAACCACTCAAAAGTTTAAAAAAACTAATTTAAACTTATTAATTTTTAAAGTTTTAAATTGACCCTTCCAAACTCTATCATCAAGTTCCGCCATCGTTAACTAACTCCTTTACATCCCTACACTTAATTGCTTAATAGATACTCCTTTTCTTCAACTCCGCCATCGTTGATATGTATAAGCTTAAAATTACTTCATCGTTCTCAAAACCAAATCTCGAGGAATTATCCTTGTTAATGTCCATAAGTAACCTCTTCTTTTATTAAATATTTGGCTTCTTCTTCCTCTTCTTCTCTATATAAACCAATACCCAACCTCTCTCAATTCCTCATACTTTCTCTCTTTCTACTTCTTTTATATCAGTTTCCAAAAATGAAGAGCATTAGTGTTCTGGTTGTTTTCTCATTGGCTTTGGTTCTCGGCATTGCCAAGGGTTTTGATTTTCACGAGAAGGATTTAGTATCGGAAGAACGGTTGTGGGATCTGTACGAGAGGTGGCGGAGCCATCACACGGTGTCGAGGAGTCTCGATGAGAAACACCGGCGGTTCAATGTGTTCAAGCACAATGTTATGCATGTTCATAATACCAACAAAGAAGGCAAACCTTACAAGCTTAAGCTCAACAAGTTTGCTGACATGACCAACCACGAATTCAGGAATGCTTACGCTGGCTCCAAGATCAGACATCATAAGATGTTCCAAGGGAAGCCCCGAGGCGCCGGTAGTTTCATGTACAAGAACGTCGACGAATTCCTGCCGTCCGTCGATTGGCGTCAGAAAGGTGCTGTCACTGCTGTTAAGGATCAAGGCCATTGTGGTATGGATACATTTCTGCTATTTTGTTTTCGATAAAGGAAAATGTTGCATATATTTGAGTTCTATGTGATCATCAACAGGTAGTTGCTGGGCATTTTCAACAGTTGTGGCAGTGGAGGGAATTAATCAAATCAAAACCAACAAATTAGTATCATTATCTGAGCAAGAATTGGTGGATTGCGACACAGAAGAAAACCAAGGTTGCAATGGCGGATTAATGGACATGGCCTTTGATTTCATCAAGAAGAATGGTGGGATCACTACTGAATCCAATTACCCTTACAAAGCTGATGATGGAACTTGCGATGTTTCTAAGGTCAATTTTCCTTTTCCTTTGAACAAAGGTTTAGCTGATTCAAATCTATGAGAATTCAAAATACGGTGGATTTGCTTGTTTGGTTTGCAGGAAAATTCACCAACAGTGTCCATCGATGGGCACGAGAATGTGCCCGAAAACGACGAGGATGCTCTGCTTAAAGCTGTTGCAAACCAGCCAGTTGCAGTGGCCATCGATGCTGGGGGTATGGATTTTCAGTTCTACTCCGAGGTAAACTTTCAAATTTATCGATGCTAGGAGTGCTTATCGGTCGAGTCTATCACGAGTTGAGCAGTGCTCTACTCCACTTGTTGCTCGTTAAACTCAATAAGATTTTGTTCGACCGTTAAGTTCATCAGAACTAGTGACTGAACTTGGTGATATAGTTTGGGGGCCAATTTAAAATTTTAAAAAATTTAGAGATTTAAATTAAAATTTTAAAAAAATTTAGGGTTCAGTTTATATTTTCCCCCAAAAAGATTAGGGTCTAATTAATTTTTTTTAAATTTTAAGAGACTTAATGAGAATTTTCAAAAATTATGGGAGGGGTTTAATTAAGGATATTAAAAAAATTAAAGATTAATATGAATATCTAAATATTTTATGGGGCCAAATTAAATATTTTATAAATTTTAAATGTTTAAATTATAATTTTGTAAAATTTGGGGACGTGGTTCCCACTACCCTCCATTGTGTTCCGCCACTTATCAAAACTTTAATCTTATTTAAAAAAAACATATATGTAAAATTTAATAATTCAATATAGGGTCTAATTTAAATTTTTTAAATTTTAAGAGACTTAACGAGAATTTTTAAAAATTATGGGAGGGGTTTAATTAAGGATATTCAAAAAAAATTAAAGAATAATATGAATTTTTAAAAAATTTATGGAGGCCAAATTAAATATTTTATAAATTTTAAATGTTTAAATTATAATTTTTCAAATTCTGGGGGACGTTGTTCTCATTAGCCTCAATTGTGTTCCGCCACTGACCAGATCTTTATTCTTATTTAAAAAAATATATATGTAAAATTTAATAATACAATACAAAGGTTAATATAAACGTAAACTAATAAACTTAACAGAAAATAAATGATCAAAATAGTATCTGAAGCAATTCTGAAGTATAAACTCATAAGTAACAATCTATAAATACACCAAAGTAATAATCCATAAATACACCAAACTAACATATTACAATCATTCTTGAAAAAAAACTTCAACAATACATAATCAGTCCTAAAAATAAGACAAATAATATCTTAAAAATTTAACGAGCTGCTTACGAACTTATCCAGTCGAGTTAAGTATTTATCGACTCGTTAAATTCTTGAATCAAATTCAAATCGATTACACTCTTGTCGAGCATTGACTGAGCCAAGTTCGAGCTGCTCAACTCAATTAACACCTCTAATTGGGAATTTCTCATTTTTTTCGCAAGTACTTGTTTCATATTAGTAGCTAAATCATGTTTTTTTATTAATTGGAATAAGTACGAGTCAATATCTATTCAAAGATAACTCTCAATCATTTGACATTAAACGCTCATACTCCTTGACATTTATGATGTTCGAACCCGAAACCTTAAGTAACAACAACAATTCCTTTCGACAAATCATGTTTGAATATAAAGTAATTGATGTGTAAACTTGCAGGGGGTATTCACAGGAGAATGTGGAAGAGAGTTGAACCATGGGGTTGCAGCAGTGGGGTATGGAACTACACTTGATGGGACCAAATACTGGATAGTGAAGAACTCATGGGGGCCAGAGTGGGGTGAGAATGGTTATATAAGGATGGAACGTGGGGTTGCAGCAAAAGAAGGATTGTGTGGGATAGCAATGGAGGCTTCATATCCCATCAAGAATTCTTCATCTAATCCTGTTGGACCCTCATTCTATCCTAAGGATGAACTCTAAACCCTACATTTACTTTCTACTTTCAGATGTGTTGCTTTACTGTTTCCTAAAGTTGTATGATACATCATGCTATACTGAATAATATATACTTCTGATTTAGTTTTAATTTTATCTTTTATAAATTTATATCTTATATTGGCAACATTTAGATTTGTTTCACCTCTTCATATTATCAATAATTTAAGTTACCAACATTTAGATTTGTTTTGAAGTGAGAAAGAAATGATAAATGTAGCAATGTGACATTTCTGCTAAACATGTGATATAAGGGAACAAAATTCATGTTACATGAACTCTTGATATTTTTAATTTATTTTAAAATATCTGAAATTTTATTCTTATTTAAATTTATATTACATTAAATCTTATTGTTTTAAAAAAAAACTTATAAATTTCAAAGAAAAAGAAATATTTTATTACTTTTTTTTAATTTTTTGCATTTTTTGCATTTTTACCTTTATTATTTAATTTATAAACAGTGAACAAATATTCTTATTTGACATTTTCATAGGCAAATGACATTTGCTTTTAAACACTCTTTGATTTTTATAAACTTTTCCTTGAGTAAGTGACTGAAAATAATAGAGATTAGTAGGGATTATGATTATAGTTTAAATCTTTAAAATTTTTAAAATATTTAATTTGACCCTCACAAAAATTTTAGAAATTCATACTGTTATAATATGAGTCAGCAAATAATGGTTGCGTGAGATGTGTGCAAAGCCAAAGGTTTGTTAGTGAGCTGTCAAGATTTGTTAGGGTTGTTTACGTTCTGTTAGTCACGAGTCTGTAGCGACTATTCTAATATATAAGTAATAGTGACCTTGAGTGTAAACACGTGAAATGCAATATAATTCTTGTTTCTCATTGTTTTTTTATATCTGACATGGTATCATTTGCCGTCGATTCTGGTACTTCCTGGTGCTTCCGTTTCTGATTCTTTCACTCACAACATGGTTCATGGAGCTGGTTCTAAGGATACGACGACCTCCTGCGGTTAAACGATGGTTCGCTCCAAGCTGTTCACTAACAGGATCAGTATCGTTCTTGATGAACTTAACTTCTTGCTGTGGAAACAACAGATTCTTCTTAATGTTCGTAGTCATCTATTGGAAAATCTGTTGCACGGCTTGGTTTAGCCGCCGCCTCAGACGGTGGTCCTTGATGACGAAAGTGTGGTGGAAAACAAAGATTATGAGGTTTTTATTACACAAGACAATGCTATGGCGTCTTGGCTTTTGTCCAATGTTAGTCCATCGCTTCTTCCTCAGCTGGTTCGGGTAGAGTCCGCGGCGGAGATTGTTGAAAAGTCAGTCAACCAAGGCAACTTTCGGTTATATCTCAAGCTACAAGTTGGCCACTTTCCATTTTGTTTTTAGGTGATTTGGGTGCACATGCAATTAGGTGGCTGAAATTGTTGAATTTTGGAATGGTAAAATCACAAACTTTAGTCCATAGACTTTAAGATATTTATAAGATTAGTCCTTAAGCTTCAACTATAAATACCCTATCTCATTTAGCTTCAAAATCATCCCAAATCATTCTAGCTTTCTCCCAATACTAGAGAATTTAGAGAGTTTCTTGAGAGTTTTTTTCTCCTTTTTAACAAGAAAGAATTATCATTGTTTTATCCTTGTTAGATCGAGAAAAGTTGTAATTTCTATTTTTTCTCATAGTGAAATTCTTCTACCTTTGCCCGTGGTTTTTACCCTATATTATTTAGGGGTTTTCCACGTAAATTTTGTGTCTTCTTTATCTTCATTTTTTATTTTCTCAAATTATCAATTGCGATTTTGTTCTATCCGATAGCCTTATTCCGCAATAATTGGCATCAGAGCCAGATTTGAGTGTGTAATATCTATTTATTGTCTTTGTGGTTGCCACCAAAAGGTGGATCCTCCAACATAAGAAAATAAGAATGTATTACACATTCTTTGAAGGTTCCAGAGAACTATTCACGATAGTGAAATAGTGGGAGCTATCCATATTAGAAGCTATGACAACGAAATTTGATATTGAAAAGTTCAATGGGAGAAATTTCTCATTGTGGAAATTGAAGATGAATGCCATCATGAGGAGATGAAATATTGTCAAGCATTGAGGAGAAGAAGACAACTAAGGAGATATGAGATAAAAAAATATAGGAAATGCAAATTCTTGGGGTATGCTGATGGAGTAAATGGGTATCGCGTGTGGGGTCCAACTACCAACAAAGTGATCATCAGCAGTGATGCTATCTTTTTAGAAGATAAACTACGAAGAAAAGAAGACAATGATAGCGCGAAAAGTCAAAGACTACACATATACATGTGGAAAAAGAGTTTGAACAAGGAGATTTTTCTGAAGCAGAACCAGCACATGATGAACAAGAACCGGAGAGTTCTGAAGCTCCAACAACTCATCAATCAGATCGTGTGAGAATGCATCCCAATTGGCACTCAAATTATGTTATAGAAGGTAATATTTCATACTGCCTTTTAACAGATGACGGTGAGCCATCAACATTCCAAGAGGTAATAAACAGCTCAGATGCTTCACTATGGATGATGGCGATGCAAGAAGAAATTGAAGCCCTTCATAAAAATAATACATGAGACCTTGTGCCACTACCACAAGGAAGAAAGCCAATTGGTAACAAATGGTCTTCAAAATCAAGCGAAATGGTGACGATCAAGTGGAGGGGTATCGTGCAAGACTGGTGGTCAAAGGATATGCTCAAAAAGAATGTATTGATTTCAATGAAATATTTTCTCCTATGGTTTGACTAACAACAGTTTGAGTAGTCTTGGAAAATGTGTGCAACATTGAACTTACATCTAGAGCAGCTAGATGTTAAAACAACTTTTCTTCACTTGAAGAAGAGATTCATATGCTCCAGCCTGAAGGTTTTGAAGAAAAAGAAAAGAAGAACTTGATTTGCAGGTTGAACAAATCTCTGTAAGGTCTAAAGCAGGCGCCGAGGTATTGGTATAAGAGATTTGATTCCTTCATTATGTGCCTTGGATACAACAGACTTAACGCAGACCCTTGTGCTTATTTCAAGAGGCTTGGTGATAACGATTTTGTTATATTATTGTTGTATGTGGATGACATGTTGGTTGCAGGACCCAACAAAGATCATATTGAAGAATTGAAGTCACAACTGGCTAGGGAATTTGAAATGAAGGACTTGGGATCAGCAAACAAGATTCTAGGGATGTAAATTCACCGAGACAGAAGTAATAGGAAGATTTGGCTTTCACAAAAAAATTACTTGAAGAAGATCTTGTCACGATTTAGCATGCAAGATTGTAAGCCAATTTCTACCCCTCTTCCTATTAACTTCAAATTATCCTCCAGTATGAGTCCTAGCAGTGAAGAAGAGAGGATGGAGATGTCTCGAGTACCGTATGCATCAGCAGTGGGAAGTTTAATGTTCGCTATGATATGCACAAGACCAGACATTGCACAAGCAGTGAGAGTGGTTAGTCGTTACATGGTGAATACAGACAAAGAGCATTGAAATACAGTAAAGAGGATCCTGAGATATATCAAAGGGACCTCAAATATTGCATTATGTTACGGAGGATCAAACTTACTAATAAATGAGTATGTAGATTTTGACTATGCAGGGGATTTGGATAAAAGCAAATCTACTACAGGATATGTGTTCAAAGTTGCTGGTGGAGCTGTAAGTTGGGTTTCAAAATTGCATTCATTTGTGGCTACATCCACAACAGAGGCAGAATATGTAGCAGCTACACAAGCCAGTAAAGAAGCAATTTGGTTGAAGATGTTATTGGAGGAGCTTGGGCACAATCAATAGTATGTCTTTCTGTTTTGTGATAGTCAAAGCATCTTGCATCTAGTAAGGAATCCATCATTTCATTCAAGAAAAAAGCACATATGAGTTAAGTTCCATTTCATTCATGAAAAGGTGGAATAATGAACGGTAGATATGTAGAAGATCCATACCAAAGACAATATAGCAGATTTCATGACGAAGGCGATCAACGCTGATAAATTTACTTGGTGTTGATCCTCTTGTGGCCTGTCAGAAACGTAAGCAACATGAATGGTACAAGGTAGAAAGAATGGTGTGAAGATATGATTGTTCCAATCAAATCTTCAAGTGGGAGATTGTTGAAAAGTCAGCAAACAAGTGGCCAAGGCAACTTTCGGTGATATCTCAAGCAACAAGTTGGCCACTTTCCATTTTGTTTTTAGGTGATTTCGGTGCACATGCAATTAGGTGGCTGAAATTTTTGAATTTTGGAATGTTAAAATCACAAACTTTAGTCCCTAGACTTTAAGGTATTTATAAGATTAGTCCTTAAGCTTCAACTATAAATATCCTAGCTTATTTAGCTTCAAAATCATCTCAAATCATTCTAGCTTTCTCCCAATACTAGAGAATTTAGAGAGTTTCTTGAGAGTTGTTTTCTCCTTTTTAACAAGAGAGAATTATCATTGTTTTATCCTTGTTAGATCGAGAGAAGTTGTAATTACTATTTTTTCTCATAGTGAAATTCTTCTACCTTTGCCCGTGGTTTTTACCTTATATTATTTAGGGGTTTTCCACGTAAATTTTGTGTCTTCTTTATCTTCATTTTTTATTTTCTCAAATTATCAATTGCGATTTTTCTCTATCCGATAGTCGTATTCCGCAACAGAGATCTGGTCAATCGTAAACAATTTTTTTGCGAGTAAATCCACCACTACCATAATGAATATGCATTACCAATTGAAAATGGTTAAGAAAGGAGAGCTGAGCATGCATTCTTATATCTCACAAGTCAAGGAAATCTACGACGCTTTGGCCGCGTGTGGGAGTCTGGTGTCCGAGTACGAGAAGGTTGCTACAATCTTGAATGGTCTAGCAATTGAATACCGTTCCTTCATCGCTGTGATTACCGTTAGCCGAGACCCAGTCACGTTTGATGGCGTTGTGTCGATTCTTCTTGATGTTGAGCTTCAGCAGTAGAGTTTTGACCGATTTTATGTCCTGAGCATCAGTGCTAACGTTGCTCAAGCTTCTGCTCTAGAGGCTGTGAATCATTTTGGTGAAGTCAAGATCTCTGGTTCACGAGGCGGTTAAACTCAATCCTTTCGTCGTTCTCGTTTCCAATGCTAGTTGTGTGGCAAAAAACAGACATTTGGCCAACCGTTTTTGGTATTGTTTTGATAAGTCGTTCTCTGGAATCACTCATGTCGATGATACCCAACCGCAATGGCATGGTGATTCGTCTTCTAACCTGAGCAATTGTAGTGCTAATTTTACGGTCAACGAGTGTGGCTATGCTCATTATGGTCAAGGTTCGACTCGGGATGCTGGTATGTCTGGACAAACTTCTACACAATTACGGTCACATTGGATAATTGGTGATATAAATCAGTAGTTTATTGATTCGGGTGTCAAGGATCATATCACCACTGATCCAGGTGAAGTTACTGATGGTGTTGACTACTCCGATGCTGGTAAGCTTGTCATTGGTGATGGGAACAACTTATCCATTGCTAAAGTTGGACAGTCTTCTTTACATACCGCCTCTCGTTCTTTGGATTTAAATAACTTATTGCTTGTCCCTCACACAACTAAGAATTTGATTTCGGTGTCTAAGCTTGCTATAGACAACCGAGTTTTCCTAGAGTTTCACACTCATTGCTGTGTGGTTCGTATTGAAGAGAAGGGGGTGGTGTTACTTCAAGGTCGAGAGATAGATGATTTATATTCCTTCAATCATGCATCTTTTCTGGGCAGACCAGAAGGTTGCATGGCTTTTTCAGCAGATTAGACATTATGGCACGATCGTCTTGGCCATCCTTCACATGATGTGTTGACTAGAGGTTTTAACCGTTGTAATATAGTTTTATCGAAGTCAATTAATAAAACAAGGCTAAGCGTTTGTGCATCTTGTTAAGTGGGTAAAAGTCTTCGTCTTCCGTTTGTTGAGTCTCAAACTCGTTATACTAAACCGTTTGACCTTGTGTTCACTGATTTGTGGGACCTCCGCATATCTCTTATAATGGTTATCATTATTATGTCAATTTCGTTGATGCTCTTTCAAGACATATGTGGCTCTATTTATTGAAGACCAAAGATCAAGCTGTTCACGCTTTTGGTCTGTTTCGTAAAATGGTGCAGACTCAATTTGGTGTTGATGTTAAAGGTGTGCAGAGTGATTGGGGTGGTGAGTACCACAGTTTGTTGCCAGTGCTTCTTGATGCCGGCATTTAACATCGGATTACAGTCCCCCATACCTCCAGTAAAACGGGGTTGTCAAGTGCAAACACCGACATGTTCTTGAGATGGCTTTGACGTTACTTACAGGAGCCTCGTTACCAATACGTTTTCGGGCATTTGCTGTTGTAATGGCAAACCATCTTATTAATTGTTTGCCCACTAAAGTGTTAGATGGCATTTCTCCTTTTGAGCAGCTGTATGGCAAACCACCAACTCTTGACAACTTGAGGATTTTTGGATGTCGGTGTTACTCCCATATTCGACCATTCCAGTCCCATAAATTGGCTTTTCGCTCTCAACCTTGTGTGTTTTTGGGCTACAGCATGCAACATCGATGCTATCAATGCATGGCGCCTGATGGTCGTGTATTCTTTCATGCAGTGTTGTATTTGATGAAAGTATGTTTCCATTTGCTGATGACAAGAGTGTCAAGGTTGATACGGTTTAACCCTCCCAACCACTGGCTTCCCTAGTGTTGTACCTGGTGCAGAACGCTTGGTTGGAGCCGGTGTTATGCGTTCTTCAAAGTTGGCCGATGCACGTGAGTCAGCTTCTCCCTTTTGTTCACATGAGGCAGGATCCACGAGTATCACTCCGCAAATATCACCTTCAGTTCAAGCGCAGTTTATAGATACGATTCAACCGCTGGTGGCATTCATTGTTCACCACATTCTTCTTCTTTGAAAAGCATCCATTCTGCTGCTGAGGGAGATAGCTTGCCTGTTGAGTCCGATCAAACACCATGTGATTGCAGGTGAGTCATGAGTTGGGTGGAACGTCTCAGGTAATTTCTCACAATCGACATTCAATGGTTACCAGGAGTAAGATGGGTATATTTAAACCCAAGGTTTTTACCACGTTAGCTGCTGGTTTTGATGTTGCACGTGATGCCGAGCCGAGTAATATTCAGTAAGCTTTGGCTATCCTTCGATGGAAGGAAGCTGTAATGGATGAGTATAATGCGTTGATGAAAAATAAAACTTGGGAGGTGGTTCCGCTACCTGCAGGTCGCTCCGTTGTAGGGTGTAAGTGGTTATTTCGGATAAAGAAGAATTCTGATGGTACAGTCTCTCGGTTTAAACCGCAATTGGTTGCGAAAGGGTTCGCTCAAATTCCTGGACCA